GGTACGCCCTCATGAGCGGCAGCGGCGATGGTGCCGTGCGAATGTGGGATATGCGCACCGGTCAGCCACACCGGACGCTCCTGGGCCACACTGCACCCGTCACCTGCCTTCAGTTCGACGAGCTGCATGTCGTCACTGGCAGTCTGGACAAGTCAATACGGGTGAGCTCATTCATTTGCTTGTTTAGTCCCTGAGACTAAAGAGTTTCCATGTAGATCTGGGATCTCCGCACAGGCGGCATCTTCGAGACGCTCAAGTACGACCATCCGGTGACGGCTCTTCAGTTCGATACGCGTAAGATCGTGGCGACTACAGGCGAGAACGGGCCGGAGTTGTACAACCGCACGAGCATGCAGCACTCCCGTTTACTCACGAATGGGCACACGCGTCCCGCAGAGCGGCTACGACACATGGACAAATACCTCGTCTCAGGCGGGCGCGACGCGACAGTCAAGATCTGGGCTCTGTAAACGAGTCCGCAGGATACTCGTCTTCTACAGATTTATAGCGGCTAGCTTCTTGATATCCTACCAACTCACACCAATCCGACACTAGACAATGCATATACACATCCTGTAATATACGTACAGACCATAACGATCCCGCTCATGTTTGCACGCCCCGCGGACATGGTCTATAAATCCGTCAATAGTCTGGAATACGGAAGCACGGTGATACAAAGCGATGGATATATATACACAGTCTCGACGTATAAATTAGATGCTGGCCGTCATGGTTAGCTTACACATACGGGGTCATTCATGGTATGTAAATCTTTGAGAATCCCTCAACTCTGGGAGAAGGACCGGTCAGCATATGCAAGTAACAACAAAAAAGGATCGGTGGACTCACGGTCTGCGGCAGCACGGACACAGGTGCTTCGACGCGGCTGACCTGGACGCCAGGTTCTCTCGGCAGTCGTCGCACAGCGCGAGACATCGGCAGGGCCAGCAGATGATGTCGCGCGGCTCGACGGTGCAGATAACGCAGTCTCGCCGGCTCTCGAGCGTGCCCTCGTCCTCGGCGTGCCCACGTTTCAAATCGCGCCGCTCCTGCACGAACGCACCCCAGTCGGCGATCTGGCCAGACGACGACTGGCCGAGTGCGCCGGACATGAAGCGCGAGTACCGCCGGCGGGTGAGCGGCGAGGAGTCGGGGTTCGTCATGTGGGCCAGCAGAAGCGGTGCGGTCGCCGAGCTGCTTGCTGTTTCCGAGAGGTCGGCATAGAGGATGAGGGTGTCAGAGGCGCTCTTATGTGTGGGGTCATCGTCCTCTGACTCTGCCTCGTCGTCAGAAGCAGAAGAAGGCGTGCCTGGCAGGGATGCGTTCGGCTCAAAGTCATCGTCGTCCTCGCTAAGCTCGTCACCACGCAGGAACCGCTGGTAGACGTCGGCATCGATCTCCATGACGTCCTCGTCCTCGGCATCTGTAACAGCGGTCTGCGTGGAGAGGTCGAGGCTGGCTTGCCTGGAACGTCCTCTAATTTTGGCCCACAGTGCACACGTGGAGGTTCGTGCGACCCTCCAGATCTGAAGCAGGAACCTCAGCAGTTCTTTAGTCCATGTAGCGTTCACTAGTGTGTCAATCCAGGCATCTGAATGTCTTGAGGAGACTTTGACGTTCCTGATCTCATTTGCAAAGCCTTGACTCTCTCCCATATTCCTCCCAGACGCGATGGACACCACGCCTGAGCGGTTGATCTCGACCGTGCCTTGGTGCGGCTGAAAAGGTGCCTTGGCAATGTCGCCAGAGAGCTCCGCGATGCCACCAACTTCGTTTCCGAAGCCAGCAACGCTTGTTGCTTCAAGACTGGCCGTCCCAAGTCGGAAAAGAACGACGGAAAAGTCCTCTTCCCACTTCGGCACGAGTGTCGCAGCGTGTCCGACGAGGGGCTTGGTAATGGTGCCGTTCATGAGGAGCTGCGTCATCGCATTGAGGGCGGTCGTGACGATCGTGATAAAGAGCAGGAACGACTCGACAAAGTTGGGGACGATGTTCGGCAACGGATAGGATGATGGGAAGCACCAGACCACGAGGTGGAAGTGGATCAGGGATAGTATGCCAACAATGGTGGTCGGAATGAGACGTTTCCGTCCCCAGCTCTTCTTTACTTCCAGACAATGAGTCATAGTGAGCTGGAGACAAGATTAGCACATGATATCTAGTATCACAAGGCAAGTAACGGATACCCACCTGGAGCAGCGGCAGCATCATGGTGATGAGAACATGAACATCCGGCCGAGAAGCTAATCCCCGGCTCTTGTGGATGTGGGTCATAGGAGAGGCGTACACGTAGAGGACGAAGGAGTACCCAAACTGCGCGCGCGATCATAAGACTATACTTTGACATCCATGGGAAATGCGGAACTCACCAGGTTGAACGGAGCATTACTCGCGGAATGGAGCGCCTCCATACCGTTTGTGAGCGCTGCGACGAACAAAGCGACGCAAATGGTCACGAAAGTTGACCAACAGACGTCGTCCATTTGTTTCATCTGCGCCCAGTCACCTAAGTTCCGGACTAGGCTGTTCGCGGAGGATGGGTACAATTGCGCCGTTTGTAATAGGATAACGGTCCACAGAGTTGAACTCTTCAACAAAAGGTAGATGGATGGCATCCGGAAAACCAGACGGGATCGCGTCGATGAAAGATTGACCGGGAGCACAGCGCGCAGCATCCTCGTCCAGATACACCTGCCGAATCGACGCTCAATGGATCGTATTTGCCGGCGGTACGAAGAGTGGCGGGGAGGAACAACGATATTCTGTATCCGGTGCAGGAGAAAGGACTAAAGATTTTGAGCGATACAGCAGGATCAGTGCACAGTGCACACACACCATGAAGAACAGTCCGACGAAGTAGCCCGACGTCAAGAAACCCCACGGGCCTGGCAAGGGTGCCAAGCCTGTTTCACGCATGCGCTGCTGTGCCCGGGCAATACGAGAGTCGGAAGTGGCGCCGTCGGCCGCTTCTCCTGCCGTCAAAGACTGTTCAAGGACGTCGTCAAACCGACGCATGCGACCGAGCATGCGCGACGGCAGCTGGAACAGATGTCTTGCCAGTTTGTATGTAAAGCTCGCATTGTGCGTGGCGTTGATAGCAGTCCGTGGGTCGATGCGATCCGTTGCGGCCTGCATTATGGAGGTGGGAGGAGAGACAGCGGGCGCATGGGGCGTGGTGCGGTGCGGAGGTCGTTGCGCTCGTCGTTGGGCGTTCTCACTCCCCGTCGGCGATGGAAGTTCCCGGTTTGGGAAGTTAGAGATAAAAGTAGATTAGATCGTGCTATCATCAGTGTCGCATTTTGATGGGAGACGCCGCAAGAGGTCAGCTGCGCGTATTGAGGCTGTTGCTGCACAATGGCCACACCCGGGATCAGGGAGATGGTTCTCGCGACGGGCGGAAGGACAGAACCTAGCCTATTTCTGCAGCGGCATATGTGTCTCGCGACCTCCCTGTGATATATGCAGGACAACAGATATCGGCCAGATCAGCCGAGCCATATCCCAACTCAAAGCAAGGACCAATGATACAAGATGTATGATTGCATGAAGGGGGAACTCAGCTGAGTTCAGCAACATGCGTGCAGTGCAGGGACAGTTCCGTGGTCGCCTGCGGAAAGGGCCTAAAGCGATGCCGCCCAACCTCAAGGTATAAAGGCGACTACCGCACCATGATGCCATGCAAACCCCATCCCCTCAGCACGCCCCTCACGCTCAGCATTCTACACTAGGAGCTGAACGCCTCATTTTGCTTCTCACTCTCACCCTTTACCGCTGCCAAGCACCGCCTGCTACTCTCGTCATGCCGCGCCCACTGTCTATGCTCTCCTTCATCTCGAGAAAGTCCTCCGTAAGCTCTCACGTCTGCTGCGCCATCGTGTCCCATCGGACTCAAGGGCTGCTTATCTGCCAGGATTCTCAGCGGTCAAAGAAGCGCAGTTCATTGCTGTCCACCACCTCATCGGACTCTCAGGCCATATCAATACAAGTTGAGTAATTTGGCGGCGCTCACTGGCCCACCGTGAGACTCATGAAGAAAAAACTCGAACCACTCTAGTTGCCAAGCTTCGATGATACTGCGCACTACCGCAAAGAGTCGGACGGAGCTGCAGAAATGCTCGATGATGACAACCTTGCTTGGGGCAGCCCCAGTCCCACGAGCACCAAGTCGGGCCGCCGTAGGAGTCGATTCTGGTGATGGTCCGCGGAGCTTATGCAACTTGTGACGAACTGCATCAGGAGGCGTTACGTTAAGGATACCCTTGTGTAATTTGTACGATTTGGGAGATCACTTTCACGAGATCCCATGGACACTTCATGCATGACTTGAAATCGCACAACGCTGGTTGGCTGAGAAAAGGCTCATACGGCCGAGCTCGAGCAAGGACTATTCTTACAGCAATCCAGAAATCCAAGAACTGAAGATTCATAAGTGTGCCTACGTCGTGAACGCCCTATTCATTACAGCCTGGCCATCTCCAGAATGAACTGGGAGCTTTTGCGAGACTTGACCTTGTTCACGTCGTCCATCGTCACTGGACGACATTCGCAGGCATGGTTGTAGCCAAGCCTGGATTAAGTTTATCAGTGATCCAAGGCTCTATCACAACTGAATAATCGCAGCAGCGTACCTCTCTCTACCATCAGGACGACCAGCCTTGTAGAATTCCGGCCTCCGAAGCAAGGAACACACAACGGCACCACCCAAGCCAATATTCTGCACCAAGCCATACTTTCCGCGCTTGTCAGGGACATTGAATAGCCCTGGTGCCTGCATGGGGCCAGCCCCTGGGATATTCAATCAGCATGCCATAATTACCGCAGGGACACATTTGTGCAGAAGGCTCTCACATTCTCTCAGTTGCACTGTCGCAGATCGTGCCGTCGGTCTGGGTCAGCAAACGCAACCACGGGACAGTGGCGCATGGTACGCACTGGCGATGTAGAAGTGCATTCCAAGGCCCGTCGCACCGAGCGGGTGCCCCTTGGCCTCCAGCCCGCCGCTCGGATTGACAACATACTTGCCGCCGTACTGGCGTCACGCCACCGCTTGAGCATGCTGCGCGGCGGTTGCGGGTAAACGTTAGCGTACCGTGTTGTTTCCACTGTCTACGAGCTTGTGCGCCTCGCCTGGCGCGCAGAGTCCGAGAGCCTCGTAGGTGATGAGCTGCAAGAGCGGAACGCGCTCGTCCGTGAGATTGCGTGCTGCTGCGCGTGGGGGAAGTGGGATAGCAGACGGACCTCGTTCGCCGAGAAGCAGTCGTGGAGCTCGACCACCCCCACTTGATCCCTGCCCTCGCCTGGTTTGAACCCGGCCTCGGCAAAGACCTTGTCTGCACAGGTCTTCGTCATGCCGTAGCCGACCACGTTCATGGGTCGCTTAGACTCGAACGCCGTGGGGTCGTCGGTTGCCATAGCTTGTGCCACGATTTCGATGGCCTGGTTCTCGAGTCCGTGGGCGTGGACGAAGTCTTCTGAGGCAACGATGCAGCAAGCAGCCCCATCCTTCACAGACCCGTGAACTTACGCAGTGAGAACCGTCAGTAATGTATCCTTACCGAGGTAGGACTACACATGAACTTTGTGAGCTGTTTGTTAATCTTGGGTGCCTTCAGAACCTGTTCCACACTCCAACCATCGCGGAACTGCGAATAGGGGTTGTTCACAGAGTGCTTGTGGTTCTTCGATGCTAGACACCGAGCTTGTTAGCAACGACTGCCGCTCCTTGCTCAGCACCATCACCGACCTATCTTTGCCAAGTGCTCCACGGTCGCTCCGTACTTGTCCATGTACTCCTGCGCAGCGTTGGCAAACATGCGAGGCGCGCCAGGTCCATAGTTCTCCCCGGTGCTAACGTTGTGCTCAGCCTCCGCGTTTGCTGCGCCCAGGATCAAGCCCGGGGAAGGGCGGTCGGACCAATTGGACTTGAGGCTACCTGGGGCCATCCGCTCAAAGCCAAGAGCCAAGGCGCATTCAACGAGGCCGGCCTTCACCAGGATATTTGCCCCGTACATTGCCGTACTTCCAGTCGAGCAGTTGTTGTTCACATTCGTGATGGGGATGCCTGTCAGCCCCAGGTTGTACAGGGCCCGCTGAGGAATGACATGAGCCAGAGACCCGTAGGGACTACCGGTGACTACATACCTGGCCGGAGGTGGATTCGCCGTAGCAGTAGCCGACATACGCAGCCTCGACAGAATCATATGTGATACCTGAACGATGAGCCTTGTTGCACCGGCCGTGACGCCAAGATATCACACGTACCTGCATCGAGCAGTGCCTTTGTAGCGGCTTCAAGGCCCATCTAAGAGGCACAGCTACTGAACATGAAACTCGCGAACCGGAAGCATACAGCTCACATCCTCCACATTTCGCTGCCCCCTGGGCTACAGACATACGTATGAGATGCGGCGGTCAAACGAAAGACGGCGTTCGTCCTACCTTGATGAATGCCGTGCATCCTGCACCGATTATGAACGTTCGACGACCGCGAGCTGGCATGGTGGTAGTCGCAAAGGGTATCTGGAGCAGCTCATCATCCACCGAATATATAGGCCCGAACAGGAAGAGTCGGTCACTGATTTAAACCGGCTCCGGGAAAGACAGTTCGCAGTGGGCGTCAGTGAGTCCCGTGCAACCCGTCCACCTCCACCACCTCCAACCGCGAGAACGATCTGAGATGTCTCTACCACCCATATTCTACCACTATTTTCGGCTACCGCTGCCCTATGTTCGTACACTCGCACTGCAGGAACAGCTGCACACGCTGCAACTTGCGCAACGCCGGATAGGAACACACAAGGACATCCTTCTCTTGCTCGAGCACCGCCCAGTCTATACTGCTGGCCGCCGCCAGCTCTCGAGCGACCCGGCAGTGCTCGCGGACGAGCAGCGTCTGACGCGCATCGGCGCAGACTTCGTCGCCACGAAGCGCGGCGGGCAGTACACGTACCACGGACCGGGTCAGCTCATCGGCTACCCGCTGCTCGACCTCGGGCGCACGGCGCCGCCGACGGGCATCCGCGACTACATCTGCCAGCTGCAGACCGCGCTGCGGCGGCACCTCGCCGAGGCGCACGACATCGTCACGAGCGCCGCGAACGACAGTACGGGCGTGTTCCTCGACGCGCACAACAAGGTCGCGAGCATCGGCGTCCAGGTCCGCCACCGCCTCACCGCGCACGGGTTCTCCCTCAACGTCACGCCCGAGCCGCTCGCGTGGTTCGACCAGGTCGTCGCGTGCGGCCTTGAAGACGTCAAGGCGGCGTGCATCGCGAACGCGTCGCAGAGGCACAGTCCAGATGATGTGAGTGTAGAGGGAGAGATCTCTGGTTTGACCGAGAGACTCGGACGCGCTTTCGGACGTGATATGGCCCCGCTGGACCTGAAGGCTGAGCCGGAGATCGGAATGATGATCGAAGAGGTGGAAGAAGAAGCCAGAAAAGTTGGAGACTGGCACAAAGAGCCGTTAGTGCAATCACAGCGAGGTTGTTTCGGCAGCCGTTAGCGTAGGTGAGTACAGCTTTGGTCGTCGACAGATCCATGAACCGACAAGTACAGTTTTAACCCTCCTTAGAGACACTGCGTACGTCCTGGTTCCCTGTCAGATGTAGATCCCGGCTCACACAAGAACGTTACAGAATGTCGGACCACCCCACTCAGTACTTTCTGCATATGCATTTCAACGATTGCACACCGATCCTTTAGCTTGTGTAAACCACATGCCAAGGGTTCTGTGTGCGGTGTCGCAATGATATCGTGCAGTTAAGAAACTATCGACCGCGACGGTCCTTTATGATCCTCCTGGAAGAAGCACTTTGCAACCGTGGTTCACGATACACACCATGTATGGTATAGTAAGCCGCAACGCACTCTTAAAGGCCTCGAGGAGGTCCGGAGGTGGCCTCGTGATAACTGACAGCTGGCTATCTCCATCCCTGACTCAAGCTACGCTGAAAGTGTTTTCAAAGCCAAAATATCAGAGACTACCTCGCATGCCACGAAATCGCTGCTGGTGTATGTCGTTCGACGGAAGCTATTCAATGAGCCCAGTAGGCGCCTAGCGACTCCTTTGTGCCTGACTGCGCGAGCTTTGTGGCGCGGACATGTTTAGTGGAGAGACTCTGTTGCTGTTTTTCATGTCCTTCTCGACGTCATTCCATGGTCAGCAATTCGATACTCTTTTATGTCTCTGTCCCGTAGAAATCTAGCATCGCGAACCTCATGACTTCCTCAGACTCGTCCCACCAGCCCGGACGCCTCTCTCTCCACCCTCATCCGTCCCAGATAGCTCGCCCGCTCCCCTTCTTCCACCCCACACACGCGCTATTTGTTCCCTCAGAGACGTCACAGCCCGGCGAGCCAACAAACTCTACGCATTGGTCCTCCAGAGCGTCCCGCAAAAACCGATACACACCCAAGCACGTCCCATTACAACGCTATCAAGATGCCTCAAGACCGACAGACGAGAAAATGCAGCAACACCACACCGTTATGCTCACAGAGAAACGGCTGCGGCATCCGTATACTATGCTGAAGGTGCACCTCGTGTGGGATGTGTCCTTCTGGGTCGCGGTCGCTTTCGTTATCGGTTCTGCTGCATGGGTGCGTTCTCCTACTGGTGCCATACAGGAGCACAGGCTGACCACACCGAACGCCTGCAGATATGCAACGGGCACCTGCTATATACCCCACTCTCCCCGACGCCCTCCCCTCCACACAAGAACGCCGCCGCCTGGCTGGCATTCGTCGGCGGCACGTCCTTCGTGGTCGGCGCGTACCTAATGTACGTCGAGAGCCTGCCCGCCAACACCGGGCACGCCGAGCTGTACGACGAGTTCCACGAACATCTTGCGCGGCTTGGAGGAGATCTGGAGAGGCATGTGGGAACACACAACGAAGATGGTGCCACGGACGTGAAGCCGAAGCAGGGTCGGACACTCAGATGGGTGTGAGCACTTGGGTCCCGCCTTTTCCCTTGTGTGGCTCACTGATGTCTGTACAGCGGCCTAGGATCCCCGCGAGACATCGGGTTCCTGGCCTCGCTGATTCAGTTCTTCGCCGCCAGTGTATTCTGGATATCCACAATGTATGCCGCCGCCCTACTTACGCACATTGACGACCCCAGTTTGACCCAGCACTCCCCCTCAGCACGGGTCTCCCTAACGTCATACCCACCCTTGATGAGAAGAACACCGCCGTGTCGGTCGTGCTGTTCTGGACGCCGCAGGTCGTCGGAGGATGCGGCTTCATGGTCGCTTCGGTTCTGCTCATGCTCGAGGAGCAGAAGGCTTGGTGGAAGATTGCCCCCCTGAGGCTCGGCTGGTGAGCTTTATCCGCACTACCTTGTCGCACGGCATTCAGCTCAGAGTTTAACAGGCAAGTCGCATTCTGGAACCTCGTCGGTGCAGTCGGCTTCACACTGTGCGGCGCCCTGGGGTACGCAGCGGTGGCCTCTTCCGGAGTATGTTTCCTGCCGTCTTTCAGCACCCGCTCTCCTGACAAAGCATCGTATAGGCCAACTATCAGAGCGTACTATCGACCTTCTGGGGCAGTTGGGCGTTCATGATTGGGAGCGTGATACAACTCTGGGAGACCGTTTGGCGAGAGGATCCAGGCTCTGCGGACGGTACTGGTTCTGCGAATGGATGATATGTGACTGCTTCAATCTGCTGAAATTGGGGCAAATTGTGTGCCTATGACGTCTAAGCGTGCACACTGTGAGATAGGTACAACAGGCAGAATGGTACAGGCCGTTGTTATCCCGAGTCGGACCAAGATCAGTGAAATCTTTCCACATAACTAGCAGCTCAATTGGATAGGATGCAGACTTATACCGAGAATGAACTTTGTAAGATTGTAGCCTTCAGACTTGCTAAATATACCACCCGGGTGATCGAACCATCAGCTTCAGAACAGTGTTATGTCTTCCTACTGCGCGTCCGCCTTGTCACCTCTAAGACCGCAACCTGACCACAACCCTTTAGCCATTTTGAGCTCAAGTGCATCCAAACCGGGCATACCTTTCTCTTGCGACCAGGCTTCGTCTGGACTTCCTCGTCCTCGAGCGGCGTCAAGTCGCTCTCGCTCTCGCCCTCGCCCTCGCCCTCGTCTTCCGCGGAGGACTTAGCACGCCGACGAGACCTTGAGCTGCGACCTGCCACCCCACCACTCAGCTTCTGGAGCTCTGCAACAAAGGCAGACGTCCGTCCGCCGACGGTGACCCATTTGATCGTCGCGGGCTCTCCAGAGGGCTGGTCGTAGCTGTCAGCCGACGCACAGCGCATGAGCATCCGAAGCGCTCACGAGAAGCAGCGTGTGCTTTTTCTTGCCTTTCCCCTGCCATGCGTGCGATCAGTTCAGGAGCATGCGCTATTTGTGAACGGGAGAGCGAAGGCGCACCCAGCGATGCTTGAAGAGCCAGTCCCCCGGGAACTTGGCGTCGTCCGCGTTCACGTCGACCGCCGTCTGGCACACTTGGTGCGTTTGCAGATGCAGGGCCGCGAGTTCCGTGTCGTCGAGCGTGTGGCAGCGGCGCTCTGGGTGTATGCGCGCGTGGTACAGGACTTCATCTAAGCCTGACATGAGAGAGCTCACGAGAGACACGAAACGGTGGATGGACCTACCGGCGACCCAGTTGCCGACGCCCGCGCTGAACGACTGGTCCAGCAGGAGCGCCTTGATTGGGCAGGTCCGTCTCAAGACCTGCACCTTGAAAGGCTCTAGTTTGGGCATGGACAGGATGGGGTCAAACCCTAACGCGGAGATCGGGGGCTCTTCCAGCGGCGACTTGACGAGGCGTACACGGCCGAGCCTGCGCGCGTCGAGGAAGGCTACTTCTGTGGTACTGCCTGTCGTCTCGTCGCGGATGTGTAAGATGAACTGAAGTGCGATCGACGACTGAGGCCACCAGAGGAGATCTGAGAAGGTACTTTTGCTTACCTTCATAAACCTGGGAGGCCAGTCGGTCGACGCTTTCCTTGGCGTCTCTTTGTAATACGTCGCCAGCTGGCCCTTGACCTGCCGGAGAACGTCAGCATGGAGGCGGCTGGACTTCGGTCGGGCATGTGACGGACCTGAAGCATGCCTGTCATGCCGAAATGAAGGACAGGCATTCTCCCGTCCCCGTCGAGGTCGAAGTAGAAGACCTTGCCTACACAGATGAATATCATTTCTTTCAATTGTCTCGGTTGGTGACGGATAGCACACCATATCGAGCGACGTCCTTCACAGTCCGACCTTCGAGTTCTTTCTCCTGTGCAGCATAGTCAGCCTAGTTCTAGAAAACCAGCAGGCTCCGCATTTACAAATTCTGAGTGAGTCGTGTCCGAGAACACGAGATTGTCTTCTACTGCTTCGACCCTGGCGATTTGTTTCCCTTTGGCGAGCGTTCTGAGCAGAGCAGCAGCTCTCTCGACTTCTGTTATGACAACTCAATCAAAATAAAATCATCTAATATCCCATACGGTCCTACCTGGAAGCTCTGGCATCCTGCTCTAGACGGGAGGGAGCAGAGGTTTGGTTCGAATTGCGCGCCAAGACGGATCAGAAAGATCAAATGCGGCTCCCGCTTCCGGCAGGAGGCCACTTTGTGGCGCCAGCAGTTGTCTTTAAATTGTGCCGGCATCGACTCCCATGCCTTTCCGTCCTACCACTCTCAGCGGCCCCGTCTCACGGCCTTGACAGCCATGTCTGGAGAGCAACGGTCGAAACCCTGGGGACTCCGGTGGAGGAGTTCTGTGTGGTACGTGACGTTCGGTGAGTTACCCAACCAGCAGTGCATGGCCACTCAGTCGCGCCGCGAGATGCCGGCAGAAAGCTAACCAAGGCGTTCACAGTCGTAGGACTCGGCAAGTACCACTTGTAAGGGTATCCAGCTTTCGGCTAATTTTTCTTTCTTTTTTTTAAATAGGTGTAATGACCGATGTGCTCGTGTATTCTATTGTAATCCCTGTGCTCCCATTCCAACTGGAGCGTCTTGGTTACCAGGGTGTCTCGGGCCGCGTTGGCTGGCTGCTTTTTGGATTTGTATGCCAAATTTACTTTGTGCCGCTTGAGAGTGCTGACGCGCGTATCAAGTCTGCAGGACTTGTACTATGTGAGCTGGAACATATGATGTTGCATGGCGTCCGACCATCAGCAGCCGAGGACTGACTCCACATGCAGCGACGGTGCCTATCGCCATGTTCTCTGAACGATACAATATGAGGACTTGGCCCTTGATCTTAGGCCAGGTGATACTGATTGGATCGCAGATCATGCTCATGCTGGCACCTACGTACTGGCTTATGGTGCTGGCTCGGATTATCCAGGGCATAAGCTCTTCCATTATATGGATCGTCGGCCTCGCACTTCTGTGAGTCTTTGCGCGGCGGAGTCACAGCTAAAGCTCATGCTGAACACATCTTCCTTCAGATGCGATACAGCGTCCGAATCTATCGTAGGAAGTGAGCCAAAGATGTCATCATTATCATCGTCACTATTGTTGATCATGCACCTCAGGACAACTTGGTGTGGCCATGACCGGTCTTTCTCTCGGGTATTCAACGACGTATATATCACATTGTTGCCTTCAAAGCTGATGTCAAACGCAGGTCCCTCATTGGCCCACTAGCAGGAGGACTTCTGTACCACCGTTTCGGCTTCCATGGTCCCGGCATCCTTGCTGTCATCCTGGCCGCTGTAGACCTCGTTGGGCGACTCCTCATCATCGAGCGCAAAGACGCGCTGAAGTACGGCGTAGACCCTGCGGCCGAACCAGAGCCGGACGACTCGGAGCAGACTGCCCAGCAAGAGAACCCTGTGCCTGAAACGCGAGCTGAAGACGACAAGTCTGCGACAGGAGAGAGAGCTATGCAGCTCCCAGATAGGCCACAACTGTCTTTGATTGCTGTGGTTCGGAAGCTGGCGACGTCCAAACGAGCGCTGACAGTTATGTTCGGCAGTGCAATCTACGGGCGAGTACAAACAAGCGTTTCCCCCATCATTCATGCTGATCTTGATCGTAGTGTCGCGTACGCGAGCCAGGAACCCGCGCTTCCCCTGCATCTCCAAGCAGTTTGGAACTTCGACTCCTCAAGGGTCGGCCTGATATACCTCGGTGGGGTAATCCCGACCCTGATATGTACGTCCTTCACCGTGCGTCGGCCAGTGCACAGCCGTTGTGATAATACGGTACCCTTGCAGCGTCTCCCCTCTCCGGATGGATCACAGACTGGTACGGCTCCGAATGGACGCTCAGCATCTCCTTCCTCCTGATCCTCCCGTGGTTCGGGCTCCTCACCATAAACGGGCCCCTCGCGCTCTTCATCGCCATGTTCTGCCTCGAGAGTGCGTAGGCAGCCTCTGTTCCACCATACTCGCCACTACAGCTGAACGAATCCCCCGCAGACTTCTTCTTGGCCGCGACAGTCCCTCCGCTGACGACAGAGCTGGCCGCGGTGTCGCGCATGCACGAGGGCATCGGATGTACGCTTGTCGTCTCTGAGCACACAATAGCATGACTGCGAGGCTGATTTGATTGCTGCAGATGCACATGTGTACGGTGCCTTCAACCTGAGCTTTGGCATCGGTTCCGCTCGTACGTCTTCGACACTGGCGTATGTAATTCTCGCTGACGCGTAATCTCTGCATAGTGGGGCCTATCATCGGTGGGCAGGTAAGGGGAGCTCTGTTCTCATCGCTTTGACACCATCTCATGTCATATGTAGATTTACGACCACGTACGGCAAGGTTGGGCAGCGATATGCTACGTCTCCATCGGTGTCCTCGCCATGTGTTCGCTCCTATCGATGTGCTTCGTCGGCGACAAGCCGTTATACTCACGTTTGCTGATACGACGACAATCACGCTCCTAACGACGATCCATTTCTCAAGAAACCACTACTCAGCTATACCTGACAGTACATAGTGTATACGCGGGGTGATATGATACAGTGTACAGACTAGAGAAAATATGTAGGATGACGGGAGATGTACGCTAGATTCTCCGCGGGAACTTACATCTAGGAATACAGATGACGACAGAGCGAGATGCGACGGTATGTAACATGAGGTATACAAGAGAGGAGGAAAGCAATGATGTGGTGCGACGCGACGAACTAAATAGTGATATAATGTTACGAAGGAGCGGCAGGTATAGTGTCTTGTTGCAGGCGGATAGATGGGGGTGTCCCAAACTGGATTAACAGTTGGACAAGGTCACCTGCGGGTAATCGTTTAAATGTCGTGTCAACACACGATAAAATGAACGCGTACTTCTCTTTAGAGGCTTGCTCAGGAAAGAATTCATTCCTGCACTCAAGCACAGCTGCTTTGTAGATTCTTGGCAATCCGCACTTAGAGCAACGACTGGAAGTGTGATCAGGCCAAGGTTTGTACGATCCACATGTGAAAACGACTTACTCGGAAGTAAGGTCTGAGCGCGACGCTTATTCTCAAGGATACGGATTCGCTTGCATGCTTCCACGCCATCACAAACGGGCATGTCTAGGAGCGTCGTCGTCAACGATCGTATATCAGCTATAGTAACGAAGAGGACTCACGGTGATCGAATAGGGCGACGCTGAAGTAGCCTGGTCCCCGTGCTTCCCATTCTGAGAGGGGGTGTTATGTGGCAAATGTCAAGCAAAGCCAGAAGGCACACGTACCTGCTATAGCTTCCTCACCGTTGAATGTGGCAACAACGTTGAGATCGAACCTCTCGAGCTGCTTGATGAGTAGCTTCTGTGCGACGGGATTGTCTGCGCCGGAAGTCAGCGAGAGATCAGGACAACCAAACTGCAACATACCCTCAGCAATCAAGACGTTGCCGTACAACGTCCGTGCTTCGAGCGCTTGCTGTTCATCTGCCTGATCAGCAGCACCAGCCTTGAAGACTTGCTTCTGCTCTGGATTCTTGAGGATTGCCAGCAACTGCAGCAACCTTGCTTTCCGCGGAGGCTTTGTCATCCGCACCACACCGGGTGTGTTATTTGCGAATGTCGAATGACCTGTAGAATCGGTGGTAGGGGTGTAAAGATGTATAATCTTCGTATCTCGGAATGGATCGCCCGGGAACTCGTGCAAGTATCGACAGAACTCGTCCGCGCGTGTTTCTGATTGTTCATCGAGGAGAACGAAATCCAGGAGAGGATGGACATTGCCGGCCTCGCGGAGGAAGTTTTGCGCCTCTTCCATAGAGGACACAGAACTTACGAAGAAGCCGCCGAGCATGGTGCTGAGAAGAGAGAGAGTTGCCGGAGACCGAGATGCAACTAGAATCCGCAGTGGGTATGGGGTCATAAGCTGTGCCTTCAGTTGATCGATTTCCGCCAAAGCCTGCGAGTACAATGAGCTCAATGACCAGAGTGAAGCCGTTAATGCATGCACACTGACCTCTTGAGACTCGGGCTCGTTGCAGATCTTGACAGGGATGGTGAACCAAAACATGGAGCCAACTCCGAGCTCTGATTGTACACCAATAGCACCGCCCATCAGCTTCACTAGCTGACGCGAAATCGACAGTCCCAGCCCTGTACCACCGAATCGGCGAGTAGAAGAGTTGTCAGCTTGCTGGAATGGCACGAATAAGAGGTCGACGTCGCTGGAAGTCGCATGAGCCGCAATCAACTGAGGGGGATCGAGAAACACACCTAGAGCTTAGTCCTATACCCGTATCCCTATACACATGCAGCGTGAGTCTCGACTCGCGGGACTTGATACGACTGCGATCACTTACTGAATCACGAACTTCAAGTGAACCTCTCCAGGGGTAGGCATCGAGCTGCGATCAACAGTACAGGTGACTCGAACGAATCCATTGGCAGTAAACTTAACCGCATTGCCAATGAGATTCATCAGGACTTGTCTTATGCGAGCATAGTCGGCGGTTACCCCTGAAGGCATTCAATTGAGTCGTAGACGACGCGCAAATCGGAAAAAAATACGTACATGGCGGTACGTCAGGTTCGATGTCAAATGAGAGGTCTAGTTTCTTCGCGGCCATGGGTAGTAAAAGCTCCATGCAGTCAGCGATTATATTCTCGACCGGGAGCGGAGAGAACTCGAGCTTTAATGCAGATGCTTCGAGCTTGCTGTAGTCCAAGATCGAATCGATGATCTGGACAATATTGTAAGTCATAACTTCACGGTCAATTGCACGCCCCTTACCTTGAGCAGCAGCTCACACGATTGCTTGGCAGTCGTGACTGCCGTTTCATGAGCGACGGACAAGTAACCATTCTCTCAATGACTCACCAATCTCTCTTTGCCCCGCGTTCAGCTCGGTCCCAGTCAAGATGTCCAGCAGGCCATAGAACGAGCTGAAAGGAGTGCGCAGCTCGTGGCTCATGGATGCCAGGAAATTACTCTTGATCTATGCAAAGAGTTGAGTGCCAGCCTACACAAGTAGTAACTTCGTGACGTACCTTGGTAGCCTTCAGCGCATCTTCTCGGCTCTTTCGCGCGGCCTCCAGGGCTTCCTTCTGCGCAGCAATCATCTTCAGATTCTCGCGAGTACCAGCCTGAACAGATCGGAAAAGGAGTGCGTTGGATATGCCTACGCTGGCTTGCTCGCACAGCAGGCTAAGCACAGTGACTGTGTTCAGAGAGAACGCGTACTTCGACGCCAGGTAGACGGCACCGAATGTCTGTCCACGGTTGCTGAAGATAGGGAGACAGATGATCGACCGATGGATACTCTCCCGTGCTTCGGATGAAAACCGTGGCTCAGCCGAAACATCCTCCAGATAAAGTCTTGTTTTCGTGTTGAGCGCTGCAATATTAATTAGCCAGTATGTTATGTCACCAGCATCTTGGCTTACCATGTTGGATGACGGCTCTCTGAAGCGGGTCTTGCATCGCCCGGACGGGTATAGGATTCCTTGAATCAAACTTAGAGATGTTCACCAGATAGACATAGCGACTTACTCATGTACTTGACAGGCCTCTGGGGGTGTCATACTTGTAGCGACAGTGTAGTCTCCTGCTTCTCGTGCGATGACAACGCACGTAGTCTGGCTCCCAGAGTTCTCTGCAGGTAGGGGTCAACCATGTCGAGTGCGAAGAGTTGAAGTAGCACTTACCAGTCACAATCTCAGTGAGTCGCTGCAACGCGAGAGACAAGTTAATGTCTCTGGATATCTCTCGACTCCACTTGAGGATCGACGCAAGATCCGCAGCAGTCAGCTTGTTGATCACGTCTTCATCCGTAGAGCTCGTCTTGATTGTCTGAGGGAAAATATCCTCGTCGTCCACGAGCGGCGGGTTCGTGCTGACCATGACCGTGTCCGTTTGCACTGCGGCATCAGTCGAGAAGATATGGCGCTTCAAAGAGAGTGGCGACCGATTGTCGAGCAAGGTCGACATATAATCGCTGTATGGGCTATGGTTGAGAAGACGATGGAAGTAGGGCGAGAATTAAGGCACGCACGCAATGCCCCTCGCTCCCCACTGCGATTGCCGGGATGTCCCACGACGCTGTAGCTCTGCACCGAGCCCCTCCACTCCACACCGGATAAAATGACTTCCCTGGAGGAACAGGGCCCAGCCTTCCTCAAGGAGCCAGTCGTTGTTGACAGCCAGTCTCACCGCTACGTCATAGAGCTTGAATGCATCCGGACTGTTGAGAAGAGAAGCCATCTCCGCATCCACGAGAGCAACCCATGTGCTGTTGTTTACCGGACTCGACGACAGCCACTTCCTGATATAGCTCTGGTTGGCGTCGATCTGGCGCATGTAGCGACCGTATTGTTCCGCGTTCAGGTCGGCCTTACGGATGCAAGAGGTCAGCGCCAAGCTGTGGAAGAACAGTCCGTAGCGCGAATGTCGATGGCTATGCAGACAGTATCAGTAACACTCGACATCCACCCAAGAGACATACCCACTTTGGGTGCTTGTCGCGTGTCTCGTAGACAAAAAAACCCAACTCTGCGGCTGCCTCATGGAAACCAAGGCAATACAGCGAAGCCACCTTGAAAGCATTATACCTGTGCCGATGGTTGAATACCTCGGTAGCGACCCAAAGGCTCTCAGGAGACGCACCAGTTCATCACAAGGACGAAGTTGCCGGACTGCACTTCGCTGAGCGCCAAGAATTCCTTCTCGTTAAAATCGGCTGTTTCAAATATGGTGTCGGGCGAGGTGGCGTCCGTCATTCCGGCGTACGCGCGAACGGTGTTCAGATGCACTTGACAAAAGACGATAAGGTCACTGTTCTGAGACCACAGAGTGACATCGCTGAGAGACTGGAAGCTGGTCAATTATGACAATACAATGTCAAAAGGTATCACGAGCACACACCTCCTCAGCCGCAGGTAGCAGCTCGCTCACTGTAACATGTCAAAACGTCTCCGCGATGAAAGCTAAGGATACATACGGTGATCGCAAATGAAGAGGCGACATTGGATGAGATGAAGGCTTGAGAAGCTGCAATAGAGCCTGTCGCCCGCGCTCTGGCCGAACTTCAACGCTTGTTCTAGGCGGGGAACGTTGGTCCGAAAATGAGCACTGTCGTATCCCGACACGAGTGGGCAGAAGAGGAGTAGCGCACGGCTAAAAAGAATGTTCAGTCACAAGACACGAGCCAAGAGCGGAGGAGACGCACCATTTCTCATGGCTAGACCCATACTGGTCCGCAAGGTGCAGCGCCAGCTTACCGAGATCAGCAGAGAATCTGTAAAGCTCCCTCCTTTCTGCAGCGGCTTGCATCACCTCAGTTCGTGGGTTTGAGACTATATCATTAACATTACTCACCGCCAAGAGCCCAGAAGAATCCCAGCGCAGTGCCCGGACACATCCCAGCTCTGCTCAAGACGGATACGTTGATGAGGGCAGGATGGTGATATACGGGTCGGACATACCTCAGTGCAAGCCGTATCGTCTTGGAGGTGGAGTCAGTTCTGAGACGTCATTCATGAGAGCACACGACGTACCGTCAAGCCAATGATATCTGCAAACCCCTCGCCAGCGCTCCAGTACGCATTCGCACCCGCATCGTTCAGCAGGGAGATTGCCATGTCCGTGCGCGGGTCGCGCGCCCTTGGGATTGCGAGGATTTCCTCAAACCCGACCGCGAGGATCTCATTTTTCACGTCCTCGAACATCTGATCCGCCTCGCGCCGTGACGGCGTCGGGTTCACGTCCACGCCGAGCAGATGCAGGCCGTTGATCGTGTCTCGTAGCGCCTCGGTGTAGTTCCCACGCATGAAGTAATTGCGCGATCGGATGCGGAGGATCTGCGCCTTGTTCTCGGGCTCATTCGAGCGTGTCATGCATTCCGCAATGTAAAAGTCGGAGTTGGCGTAGTCGCCTCTCCATGTCGAGAGCTCCGCGAGCTTGAGGTACAAAGTCATTGTCCTTCCCGGATGTGACCTCCACGGGTCATCGTCGAGGAGAGATATCGCGTTGAGGTACGCCTGGAGCGCCAACTGCAAAGCATCGAGTTCGTAAACATGAGGGCAAAGGGCCATGGAAGATAAGCAAATACCTCATGCGCACCCCGTGCTCTCGCAGAATCGCCCGCATCAATAGAAAGGTCCAATAACTCGTCTCTACGCTGATGCTCTCGCAACAGCGGCAGACACCTTCAGATATAGGTCAGCAATCGTTCAGCACGTTGACAACCTGCCCTACTGTTTAGCATGCTCCGCGATCCGGTAAATGTCAGGTATGGGTTCATGCATCATCATCATGATAATCCTGAACGACATCTTCGCGACCGAGCCCTCAGGGAGGGTCGCCGCCTCCGCCTGCGCGGCCTGCCGGTACCTGTCGTGCGCGAAGCTGCACATGTCGCGCGCGCGCTGAACGAGCCAGCCCTCCTGGATCGCGAGCTGCAGCCCGCGCATCGAGCCGCGCGTCGTGCTCGACGAAGTCTCGCTCGCGCCCATCTGCGAGACAGCCCTAGTGACATTTGACAAGCCGTCGGTGTCGTCCTCGCTGCTGCTCCCATTCGAGTCCTCCCAGTCCATCATGAATGCGACTTCGGTGACCTTAAACCTGCACGTGGTGTCAGAAACATGGCAACAGACGGCGTGCTCGAACCGCTTACGTTGATCCGAAGAACGATGCCCAGACGAGGTATTTCTTCGCGTCCTCGTCAAGCTCATGTAGCTGCGCGATGAGGAACGACAAGTCGTTCGGATTCAAGTCGTTCTTCTTCTGCGCCAAACTCTTCTCGATGGGTTCGATCTCATACTCCCAGTGATTCTTCTCCCAGCTATATGTGATGAAGTGTTGACGCTGTAATGTCGCAAGCATGTTCCGTACAGAGAACGGGTTGCCGAGCGATGCCGCGTGAACTATCCGTGAGAGCGGCTGACAATCCTCCTTGGATCGACGAAGCGTGCGAGAGACGAGGGAGGACACAGCTGAAAAGCTGAGAGGCTCTAAGTGGATCCACGTTGCGGAGCGATTATTGAACATCGGCTTCAGTCTCTCAAGCACCTCCCTGGATACAGGCCATCAGTACACGGGCAAGGGCATACAAGTGCTAAACACTTACGGTGTATCTATGCGGACCGTCGCGAATATCAACAGGCGACTTCTCGAGTTAATTAGCGCGCGAATGAGATCCAATGACCTTGATATTATTGAGCCACCACATCAAGGATCAACTTCTGGTGACTCACGAGCTCGATGCGTCCTGTAAGTCGTCCAAGAACAGCGCAAACAGTCTCGTTTCGGCTAGCACAGCGAACATGCTCTCGACGAGGCTCTCGAACCGCGCCCTGAGCTCGTGAGTCTCAAGCGCTTCCTGCGGGGTGTCCAGGCTGATGTCGAATAGCAGGAGGATGTCCTTGAGCTCGGGCACGCCCTGGTACAGTAGTGGCACGTTCTGCAGCTGTGGGCCGAGCCGTGCTCGGAGTGCCGTCACGAACCGGTGGAGGTCCGTGTGGAAGACGATCAGCTGTCGCAGGACGGACGACAGGCAGGACAGCTGAAACATAGGTTAACGCAGGCCTGCTGCGAAGCGGCGCCAGTCACTCACCAGGGACGCGAAGGGAGATACTTCGCTATCCTGGAACTTGCACTGGCCCCAGAGACCGTGGGCTATGGAGTACGTCAGTTACAACTTGGCCATGTAAACAAAGGATGAACTTGCATCTCCATCGTGCCTGGTTAGCCAAGACCAACGAACTCTTCCCCGCTCTATAAATTCCTGTAAATTATCGCTCATTGGGCATCTGTCGTAGACACTTACCCAGGTGGACCCACAACAATGACCGCGTGCGTGCGTGCACGGCGCGACGAGGGTCCCAACGCAGCGCGTCTCAGCCCATCGCTGCCTAGTACCGCAGGACTCAGCGAAAGCTTCTCTCTCGAACGAAGTAACGGCGGACCCTGTGATTCCGACGCGCTGGGGCTCCCTGCAGACCCATTGGCGATCTCGTTCCTGTTCGTAAAGTTCGGCGGGAAGCTGGACGAAAGATACATCGGCGTTGGCGCGTTTACACTCCCATTCGGCGACACCATGGTCTCGCTTCTGGATGAGCTCGTGGAGGAGCGATCGTCCGCTTGTGTGCCTGTACCATGGCTCGATGAGCTGATGATGACCGAGCTATTCGATGTACCCAGATGGCGTGAGTAGTTTGTCGATGCATGACGGATGACGTTTCGAATGGTGTCTAACTCTTTCTCGCGGCCGAACTGTTGATCTCGTTGATGAGCATCAGCATGAGGCGTACTCGGGACCGATACTTACGAGAGGTGATGGGATCGTGAACTCCTATATGAACCGTTCAGCACACGGCTCATACTTTACACTGCGGACACTTACGGTGTACCGATCCTGCGTGCCGATCTCGAAGATGGGTATAAGCTGGACAAATGTAAGCGCACGTGCAGCGAGGTAATGAGAAGTATGCACTCACTTCTGTCGAGACTTGCTCTGTCACAAGAGTCACCGAATTCAGTAGCAAGCGTTGACACTGCAGAAGATCGGTTTTAAGACCGCTTGCACTGTGGTACCGCGCGTCTGGCGATTTCGCAAGAAGCTGTGCAGATCATATGTACTGAGACGCTGTCATGCTTCGCGGGTTAATTACCCGGGACGTACTTTGTCGATGATGAGAGCGAGCACTTGGGGCACGTCTCTCCGCACTTCGTGTACGGGCATCGGGCGCTTCTGAACAATTGCATGTAGGAGTTCTGTTGGACCGCCCTCAAAAGGCAGCGTGCCCCGACCAACAAGTAGCGTCCAGAAGAGGGTGCCCAACGAGTATAGATCTGTTCTCTGGTCCTCTGTTGTCGATTCCATACCCCCGGTCTGCTCGGGAGCTATATGATTCCCTCGTTTAGAAACAATCGACACGCGGGGCACGTTGCACAACACGCACCAAGATAGCATAGAGCTTCCTTAACCTTTAGCTTTTTGGCTTCTCCCATCGCGTCCGACCGGAGCACCAACGTTGAGGGAACACCAAACTGTTCTAGCGAGACGGCACGATTGCCAAAGTGCACGAGCCGCACAAGACCACTGTGCGCGTTGAGATGAAAAGCGTTGGCGCGTACTGCGGCACCGTCAGCGATATGCAAGACAAGAAGGCGCCGGGGAACCGCGTACCTTCTCGGTGGATGATCCCAAATCTACGGAGGATGAGTAGGGCCCGGAAATAATAGCGTGGTCACATACCCGTGTATAAGCTCAAGCGCACGCGTTGCTTGTATCGCAAACCTAGGCCGAGCGAGTCAGACGCCGATTGCGTTCCAGCGCCGTTCGATCACGTACTCTAGGAATGATGCCAGATCCATGACTTCCACGGGCTCGATATCCTCGACCATGTCCATCTCTTCGATGCCGGTCATGTACACATCCCCGTGCGACGTGGACGGCCGCGCACGCGACACGTCTGCGAGCAACAGATCATTTACCTTTGCGGGGGGGAAGTACCGGCCGAGCAGATTGAGGCCGGGGTGGACGAGCAAGAGGACGACGCAGTCGCCGTTCGCTTTGGAGATGTTGAAAAAGTCGATCATGCGGAGGACAACGTTGGAGCTGTCAATGTTGCCCGCCATGCGCGCAAGGCTGCAAAGCCCCGTCAGTTATCGCACCTCAGGGCGGAATGGAACGTGTACTTGCATGTGGGCCTCTCGTTCGATGCACATCGAAGCGTTGGAATGGGCAGAGGCAATCTTGGCGAGGACGCTAGAGCCATCCTTAAGACTCATTCCCTCTGCGAGCTGAGTCGTGCTGCCGGTGTCCTCCCATGGTACGGCCTGTGTCGTGGTGAGGGCTGTTAGGACTGAGAGGGCGCATCAGGGCGATTACCAACCTTCTCGAACGTATAGCCGGGCACGGAAAGGACGCCATCTCTGAAGAAGAGGTTAGGTAGGGCTGGGTAAGCATACTTTCTGCGCATGGCAGTGGTATGCAAACGCTCGGTTACAGGCCAATGGCGGAGTGGGGGTGGAAGACAAGCGGTTATGTGTATTGTCGGCACCAGTTCAGACGTTCCATGTATGGACAAAGCGCCGGGGACGTTGCCCAGCTAACATACTTGCGATCATGAGAAATAAAACGGGAAAAACTCCGTCGGTGTGACATCATTGATCGCAGCAATTCGGGTCTCGACTCCACCTCTTTCTGGCCTTCCCATTGGCTTCCAACCCTTTGATCGATGCCCCTGACCCTGTGACAGTGATCCCGACGCACTAGTAGCCCGCTCTTCATGCCACAACTAATCCCGCCACACAGTCAGAATATACGCCGCCGCAGCCACACAATCTAGGAGCACACTTGGGAGGCTAGCTTCGGTCGCAGCTTGACAGATTTTGCACCAGAATCCATTTTGGCGATAAAGGAGACGTCGTACAGTTACAGACTACGAAAGGCATAAGACAGCAGGAATACGGAAGACAGACACGGAATTAAGATGTCACTAAGAGCCAGCATGAGCAAGAGCAGCACGAAAATTTACATAAGAACTTACTGTAAGAAGCGGGGTCAATGTGGTCCGGTAATTCAGGCACCGCAACCTCGAAGCGGGACTGAATCTGAGCCATCACCTGCTGGTCGCTCTCGGACGACACAAACGTAATGGCGAGACCTTTGGTACCGAACCGGCCAGCACGACTAGGATAGATCCGGATTAGCAGTACTCATTGTTCGAGTTATGGACACGTACCCGACACGATGCAGGTAGCTGTCAGCGTCGGGCGGACAGTCGTAGTTAACGACAATATTCACACGCTCGACATCGATACCACGACCAAAGATGTCAGTAGCAACAAGGATACGCTTCTCAAAGGCCTTGAAGGCAGTGTAACGCGCGATACTGCGCAACCGTTAACTATTTGACCGCGTATAACATTGTAGAGGTCCTCACCGTTCCTCCTGGCCTAGGCCCGAGTGGATAGAAATACTGGGGAAGTTGCACGAGACCAGGAGTTTGTCCAGTTCAATGGCACGTGCCACGGACTTGACAAAGATGACAACCTACATACGACTCCAATTTAGTACAAAACGCGCCCTCGACGAGTGAGGAGACGAGCCTGATTGAACTCGAGGGTATCGAGCAGCTCATTGAGCTTCCTGTTTTTGCCAATTTCTTCCAGCTTGACGTAGTGCTGCTGCAGACCGTGCAGCGTGAGCTTAGTCTCATCGTCGACAAAAATTTCAAGAGGCTGCATGACAAAACACTCAGTCTCAAAACAAAGTCAAGCGGAAGAAAAACGCACGTTCTGCATGAACTTTTTGCAAGTAACTCGAATCTCCTTCGCCAACGTCGCGCTGAACATCATGACTTGCTTGTGGTGGGGAGTCGCCCGGAAGATCTCTTGCACGTCGCGGCGCATGTCTGGTGGGAACGGGTTTGCAGGTGAGATGAATCGTCGACACATGAGCAATAGGCAAGGATAAACGCAAGCAGGGTCAAAGCAAAAAGTAGCAGTGAGGATGAAAGAAAGCGTGCGACATGGTCACGACCAATGTAAGTCTTCATCTCGGGATCACCGCCGCCTCTTGAGGAGCAGCCGATTCGACAGCGTTGTCCGCTTCCTCCACTACCGTCCTTCTCGCCCTTCTCAACCTCGACGACGAATCCGTAACAGGTCCGGCCGACCGGTTGCCAGAGCATATCGCGGGGGTGCAGGGGAGTGCTTCAGCGCTTCAAATCGCGCCAAGGGCTGCAGACAGGAGACATTGCGACAACAGCTTCATGAAACCCACAAGGTCGGGGTGACGGACGCAAGTAAAGAGGAACAGCACAGGTCTGGTGTGCATGCCCGGGTGACAGGGTGCTGGAGTAACGCCGAAATGCGAGTGATGACTAACCAAGCTGTTCGAGCATTTTGTCGCACTCGTCCAGAACGAAGTGTTTGACTTTGGAGGCGTCCAGAGACTTGTCCCTGACAAGCGCGTTGAGGCGACCAGGTGTGCCGACGACAATGTGAGGGCATTTCGACTTGTCTACGAGGAGAGCCTTGTCCTTGTCTATGCCGATTCCACCGAAGAAGGTGCTGATCCGTACATCAGGCATGTACTTGGCAAACCGGGTGTACTCGTTCTTGATCTGAAACGCCAGCTCACGAGTGTGGCACATGACGAGGACAGAGACCTCGCCGTTCACAGGCTCGAGCTGCTGGAGCGTGGCAAGAACGAAAACCGCGGTTTTACCGTGTCCAGACTTTGCCTGGCAGAGTACGTCCATTCCAAGGACGGCCTGGGGAATGCACTCTTGTTGCACTGAAAATGCACGTCAGTCTTGATTCCAGCCACCATTTAACGATAGAATTACCTTCGGATGGGTGTTCGAAACCGAGGTCAGAGATGGCGCGCAGAAGTTCAGGCTTCAGGAGGAAATCCCTGTGGCGGTTATGATGAGTTGACAGTCCGAACGGTTGCAAAAGACAGGTGTACGCACCTGAAACCCGTCGAATGAATGCCCGAAAAGTTTTTCTTATCCTCTGCCACCCCGTCAGCGGCTGGCTGCGAAACAGTGACAGCATTTGCCGCATGGGCGGGGGCGCCGTTGGCGACAACGTCGTGCTCGTCCTCGTAGTCGATCAGCTCCTCGTTGTCGTGTGCGCTCATTTTTATTGTTTGTGTGGTGTCGGTGTTGAAGTTGGAAGCGAGTCAACAAGAAAGCAGAGGACAAAGGAGAAGGTGGTGGTGGTAGTGGAGAAAACGAACGTGTGGAAATCCAACCTGTGCGCACGGACCTGGCCGGCGCCGGCCGGAGAGACGCGGGCAAAATGGGCGCCTGTTTCTGGTCACGCCTCGCAGGCAATTCAGTTGTGAGCTGAATCTGCGAATGGCAAAAAATCCGATATTTACGTCTCGGTGCAAACCAACAGGCTCTCTCTTGCCTTGCCGCCCATTTGCGACTTGCGACTCGTCGTCGCGCAGCATGCTAAGCTTGGCACACTCATTTAAAATACCCGCAGCGCGCGCGCGCGTCGGCAATGATGGCCGATGGAACCGTTACGACCAGGCCCGCGGGCAGGCACAGGCATGCACGTCCACTATAAAACGACCTCCCGGTAAAAGCGTTCCGACACAAGCTAGGCAGAACTCCCAGCTTGGTTGAACAAGAAATGGCACCCCAACAGCAAACATATCCCTTCTGGTTAGTCACCGCACGCTTTGCTACCAGAACGATCCCTTTATGACCTCATACTCTCGTCTAGGCTCGGAGGTCAGTATCTAGCGTACTGAGCCATAACGCTGACATTCTGATGTTACATGTCGTGTATCAGGCGTTGGGGGCTCAAGTGAGTGAAGGTGCACCTCTACCGACGCGTCAGTCTGAAGCCGTTTTCTCCGTACAGTGGCGGCAGCCTTCACCCATCCTCTAGATTTGACCAAAGTGTGAGCGCGTTACGGCAGTATTCTATCTGTCTAATATCTCATGTCCGTGATGCAGTCGTCTCCAGACAATCAAGCCGTCGCCTGGCCAGCCGCATCCGGGCATGTTCTCTGTCATCCGTGCGACCGTCTCGCGATCAGGCGTCCGGAGTCTCTACACCGGTCTCTCTGCTTCCATCCTCCGGCAAATGACCTATTCGCTCACTCGACTGGGTGCATATGAGAAGATCAAGGAGACTCTCTCTAGAAGTGGGAAACCGTCCGCTACACAATTGTTTATAGGTGCCATGGTTGCTGGTGGTGTCGGTGGGGTTGCTGGTAATCCCGCAGGTGCGTACTCCGCCCTACTGGCCCAAAATCCTGCGTGTTCACCCTACATTAGACATCCTGCTTGTCCGTATGACGAGCGACTCCATCAAGCCGCCAGAACAAAGATATAATTACTCTAACGCCCTAAGCGGCCTAGTAAGCCTCATCAAAACCGAAGGACTCAAAGGCCTTACTCGCGGGCTAGGCGCGAACACGGTGCGTTCTCCTGTCCAATTTTAGCAGATGTGACCTAAATTAAGGCTGAAGACGCGAGCTGTCCTCATGAATGTGAGTTATATGGGGTATTCTGTACTACACTTGTCGTGCTGACGCTACTTAGGCCTCCCAAGTAGGATCGTAAGCATCAGATTTCCGACTCGGCACGGACGTGTCTCGAACATCTGCTTTAGATACGATTATATCAAAACTACACTCGTGGCACATCGCCTGCCAATAGTAGACTACCAATTCCGGGACAATCTCTTGTGCCACACCGTCTCCAGCTGTCTTGCCGGAACGATCGCCACCAGTACGTCGCATGTTCGAATTCGATCAGCCACGAACTGATCTGTCGGCCAATAGCCGTATGCGCGCCCGCGGACGTACTTAGGTCGCGCCTCATGTCTGCGGTAGGTTCCACACGCGTCATTAGCTGCGCATGTACTGACAGCTTCGCATCACCATACCAGTCCTCAAGCGAATCTTCGTTCAACGTGCTTAAGCGGTCATTACAAGCAGAAGGACCGCGATTCCTGTTTAAAGGCTGGACGCCCGCCTTCGTCCGCCTTGGGCCTAATACTGTGCTGATGTTCGTCTTCTTCGAGGTATGTCACATTTACGTCTCATTCCGTTCCACATTTGTTCACGGCCGTGCAGCAACTGAAAAAGGGTTGGCGAACGCTGTTCCCCGCGTCGTAATCACCGTCGCCTTCGATCCCGCACAATATCCGAGTCCGCTTCGAGACTGCTCTCGCCAGAGGTATAGTACGCACCTTAGATTATTGATTTGTTCTCCCGTAGAGCTATCTATCTATCCCCGTATCTCATGTATCCTTAACGTACAACGGCTATTCCATATGGACCTTCGATACTCCTACGATGTTGCTATCCGCAGCCTGGCTTCCCGAGAGCTACAAGAGCCAGGTACCCAAAACTGACTTATGCATCCTTAATCTCTCAACAGCTTGATAATGATGCAGTCTAGAGACAGGTCGGTTGGTCCAGGTGAGTCGCAGGCCTGTTGCCCCATACTCGGGTCTAACGCACATTCACTCTGCCTATGTGTGAATCATAATCTCACTGTCACTCCATTAGGGCTACTTGGAATCGTCATCTTGACACATTCAGTCAAGTTTTCGCCGTGCCAGTGCTGCGCATGCGGACCGCGAGACGCTGTCCTAACTCTCCTCCTTCCATGCAAGGATTGAGGCACTACAAAGTTCTTTCAAGCCGTGAGAGCGTGGAAGCCATGTCGGCATCCACACTGGGGCTTGACCGCTATGGGCGACAGGAAATTAGCTACTGGCTAAATGGTAAACTCTCATATTGCGGCGACCTGCTGTCAGAAGCCTGACGAAAGGGGTCCTTTTCGTGCCTACACTACAACTCGACGTGTGCGAAAAGTTGCACGCTCTTCCCGCACGTGCTCTGCGTAGCAGTTATTCCCGCGAGCCCAGCGTCTCGCTAAGCTTCTGTCCCCGCTGACGCACGACGCCTTGTGCTCGCCTCATCTTCCGTCGCGGGTGCAGTATGTTTCTCGCACGGCCTGGCAGCGCCGACACCGCGAGCAGCAGACATCGCCACTCCACTCCCCGTGACCGGCCCCAGCCAACTCTAAAGTCGAGCGATCTGTCAGCGGCTGTGGCCGCCAGCGAGACATCGCGCGTGCGAGTGTGTGTACATTTGCTGCTTGTATGGTATTTTTTTCTCTGTAGGTGCCCGTCGCCGATCATAGACCCACTCGAGGAGAGCGAATTAGGGCTAGGCCGGTGGTCAGATCGGTTTTGTGAAACAAGGACAGACTCGGGCGGATACTCTGACGAGGTGTATATAAGACGCTTCGTGTTGGGATGACCAGGCACAACTGCAGCGTCGCCTCCCTCTGAGCTGTGCCATTCTCCAAACCTTTCAATTGTACTGAACATGAACCGCCTGTCACACACATCCTGGTCTTCGTCTAAGGTGTGTACACACCCGGTAGACTGGATGCCTGACGCACCGCTGACGGTCGGACCGTCCACCAGCCCGCGTCTATCGCGCGCTCAGACAGCGACTCGAGTACACTGAGCTCGTCGAGTGGCGTGTCCACGGCGTTGTCTTCGACACTTGACGTAAGTCATGCGACCGCTGTACGATTCACAATCTCACCGTCGTTTGATAGTCGTATCGCTCTAGCTCAAGCCTCGGCATGGTCGTAAGTCCACGTTCGAGCGCATATATCCGCCGCTGTTAATGATACATACCCGGGCCGTGCACAGGCACAAGACCTCGAGGACGAGAATCAGGCGTGGGGTAAACCGAAGAAGCCAAAGACCTCTCGGCACTGATGCGACAGCACAGGAGTGGACCGACAGAAGCCCTGTATTTGTATAGACTATATCAGCTGATAATCATTCATGCGTCTTGCTTTCCTGTGGCGCTGCGTTGGATCGCGCCTCGCGGGAGGCCGTAGTAGTCATCGTTCGACGTTTCACGAGATGGGATAAATGTACTGTACATAGAAAAGCTCTCTGGCACCAGGACTCTATCAGAATCTATAACATAAACTCGTATGCTGCAAACTCTGTTGGATTCTGTCCGAGGCATCTGTGGCGGTTCGTAAGCCATGTGTTATGGGACATGCCGAGACCATACACTTACTTCCTAATCGTCAAACTAGAATAGCCTTTCATCATGGGGAGGAGACGAGGGGAGCCTTGCGAATCCATTCTCCCTTGTCCAGCTCCTGCAACGCAAACGCCGCAAAGGCAGGCCTCGCCAGCTTGGGCTTCACATGCCCATCCCCAACGTATCCCGCGATGTAGGTCTTGTCCGGGTCGCTTGTAAGTACGGGCACCCGCACGATCGTCCAGTCTAGATCGCCTCCCTCGTGCCTCACTCTATCTCCGATTGCGACGACGTCCTTGTACGCGCCGTGTGCGAAGAGGTGGACCCCAGTAACGAGCGTCTTGAACACGACGCTGAAGTGATCGTGCTCGTCTTTGATGCTCGACGTCCCGAGCGCGATGAGGCGGCGCACGCCGTGCCTCTTCATCGCAGCGATGATAAGCCCGTACGCTTGCGCGAGCGGGGTGTCGGAGGGGTAGGTGAGGCCGCTGGTGACGGACACGGGCGGGCCGAGCGCAGAGAGCACGACGTCAACGTCGGCTACGGTCCTGCCGACGAGCTCTGCGTCGGTAAGCTGCCCACTGATAACGGTCACCGATGGGTTCGACTTGATCGAGTCGGGGAGTTTGTGAGGCGAACGGACGAGGAGCACGACGGAGTGTCCTGCGGCCAGAGCCTCTTGTATGAGCAGTTGGCCACAAGGGCCTGTAGCTCCTAGTATCAAGACTTTCATCGTGGTAGTCGTGGTTCAGGCGGCGAGCACTGTGTGGCGAGATCTCTCAGGCGACCTTATAATCTGATAACTGCGGCGGGCGGTGTTTCGGACGAACTACGACGCTTTCTAGGAAAGGATACGTCCCACCACTCTGATTCTCACCCTATGCCTCGCCGTGAGATGGGCGTCATCCGATATGACACGTTACTGTATGGCAGCAGTCGGTCGGTCGTCATAAAGCGTCACGCTTCGCCCTCGGTTGTCACTATACGATCGTTCACAGTAGTTTCTTGCCGACACTCGTGACGTCGACAATCTCGTCTCTTGTCCGCGACCACTGCTAAGTATCTATAGCTTGACATGACCGCTGAGCATCATCCGGGACGTCATACGGCCTGCAGGGCATCATACGAGGCAGAAGATGAACGTCGTCACTCTGCGAACATAAAGAGATCACGTACGGCGACGTGCGGGCATGTTTTGGGTGTAACGGGCGTCGATTTCGATTTCGTGCAGTGCTGTCGCCCAGCATTGACACTCAATGTTTCGAGAGATACGCGGGTCACCAGTTTCTCACTGTCGCTGGGAGACTCTTGGTATATTCATCGTTTAATTCGCGATGTTCGTCCCAGGAGAGATTCTTCGCCGATCTGCGTAGCTTCTTTTGGTAAGTGTGATTGGCATGATGACTTGATGAGTATCCCTTACTAGTCTCTCAGGCTGCCATGGCCTCGTGCAGGCCACCATGTCTCTCGCCCTCTACCTGCTCCCGTACCTCCTCGGCCACAGCAGTGGCATATTCGCGTCCCCCGTCCTCTACCCCCGCGATGCATCCACACCGACTGCGAATGGGACA